CCGGAGGGCGGCGCGGTCCAGGGTGGGGGTAACCCCTGCCCGGGTGTGCCCGGATCGGAAGGGGTAATTAGCCTAATGAGGCGTTTTAACACGGGGCAGACTCGCTGCTTTGCGGCTAGTTGCTGAACAGCCGTTTAGGGCCGCTTTTTTTCCCCTGATTTCTGTCCATCTTCAAGCGATGGAGTATCTAAGGAACCCACTTAACAGGTTGTCTGAAAGTCCGTGTGGGTGAAAAGTCTTAATTACTTCTAGGCAATACTAGAATTTGAAACAGTTTATGGAAAACTATAACGTGCTTGGGAATAGTGTGTGTACAAAATTAGAATTAAAATGTTAATGCAGTGCAAAATAGCGTTGGATGTTCTTGCGGTACTTCAGCAATGCATAAATTTGAGAAAATAAAAAGTTTATGAATAATGTAAAGAAACATAACCCGTACAATGCAAATCATTAAAACCATTTGAATGTGCTTGCCCTGTGCTAGAGAGCAAGTAATGGGAAGTTCTTTTTATCCTGATTTGTAAGTGGAATAAAGGATAGGTGTTTGACTTTTGCTGCAGTGGTTCATAGTGCTGTGCTGTCCAAACTGAACCACTCCCTTTCAACTGGTGAAAAGTTGTCACAGGTGAACTATTGTGGGGGAATTGCTTGTTTTCCGTAACAGTTTTTTATCATCGAAAATACTTGTTTGAAAGTTTTCTGTCATCAAAGATACATGTTTGAACCTCTAAAAGTTTTAAAGACTTGTAATGAAATACTTATAAAGGCTCACTCTTGGGATCCCTAACCCAATCTACCTTCTAGAAATGTTAGTGCTCTTCTCAATAGACTTTTGGATTATTTTTGAACAAGAAAAGGGGATTTCTTTAAAGCAATATTTAGACAAACTGTGTGTAATAAATATGCTGTTATAAGCTATAATAAGACCCGTAACTCTAATAGTTCATGTCATGAAAGTTTTGTAAAAAAAGAACACCAACAAAAAAAACCCCAACCAAACAAAAAAAACCCCAAAATAACCCCCCCAAATTATAACAAATCTTCGGACACAATGAAGAGCACACAAACAGTTTTATAATACCTTATGTTTTACCACTGGGAACTCCTTGGTTTGGGTTAAGTCTTGCTGAACGCTGGTAGAGCTGCTTTGTGTTTAAACACTACAGTCC